TGTTCCTTGGGAGCGCTTGCAGTCTGTGGAGAGTGGGACCCCCCAGCCAACCAAGGCTGGCACAGCTGCAGGGGCTGGACTCTGGCTTTGTGGGTGTCAGCTGGGGTTTCCCAAAGCGAGTTCCATTCTGAAGGGCATTATGAGGGGGAGGGCTCCGTGGTCCAGTGGCTTTGAGGATGGCTGGGATGAGCGAAGTTAGGGGTCTCGGATGTTCCCTCCACGTCTTCAGAACCTTCTGTAAGTAGCCAGCCCAGGAGCCCTGCTGCGAAGAGAGGAGAACAGCTGGGGAAACTGAGGCACAGAAGGAAGAGGCAGTTGCGTGGGGGTGGGAAGGGGGCAGCCTGCCCAGGCCCCCCGCCTCTCTCTTCTCCACCACTGCCCGCGGGTTGGCCCTGGGCTCGTCCTGCTTTCACGGCCCTGAGTGTGTAAACCAAGCCTTTATTTTATTCTTTCTCCTAAAGTTCAGCTTTGTTCTCGCTCCGGCCAAGGCTTCTAAGAAAGCAACCTGAAACCAGCTCAGGCTGGGCTGTCTATCCCGGGCTGGGCGGCTGGGGCGGCCGCCTCGCCCGCACAGGTGGTCTGAGGACATGGCGACAGCAGGGCTGGTTGTCCCCGTCCCCGGGGACCAGGTGGCCTGTCACCTCGCAGGGGAGAGTGGTGGCCCCTCTCTGGGTGAACAGTCTGGCCTCAGCCCCGGGGGGAGGCCTGCACAGCAGGGCTGAGGGGCGGGGTAGGTCCCAGCAGGGAGCGTCACGAGATGGATTTTACACGTCGCTTGTGCCAGGCTCCAGCTGGCCACTTTGCTAATAACCTCGTCTCCCTCAACCCTGCGGCCACCTTCGAAGGGTGACCCTCACCCCCATCCTGGGTGGGCATCCTCTGCTAGATAGAGGCCACGGGACCTGCGTTCGAGGTGGCCTGGCACACGGGGTGGTGCCCAGCGGAACCAGGACGTGCTCTTGAAAGGGATCAGCTCCGTAGGCTGCACACCATCCCCTGCTCTCAGCTGGGGATCTGGCTGCTCCCTGCCCAGCCCTGGGCAGTTGAGACCCTCTGGGGTCAGGGCCCACTGCACCTTTGCAGCATCTGACCACCCCGGCCAGGCTAGGTCACCCCTCCCCTCTCACGGCACAAGAGCCCCATCTGGCTCAGGAGACCCCATCATGGTCTCTGGGAGTCTCCCGGTGGTGGGTACAGGGGGCCACGTGGGAGGCCTGTCCCCACTGCGGTGTGTGTTCCTGGGCAGCACAGCCCATCCCTTACTTAGCCCTCCCCGGCCATGCCCAGCTTGGGATTAAATGCCCATCAGGCGTTGGGCAGACCCACCCCAGCCTCACCAAGCTCCCGTGTGGCACCTGGAGGGCTTCGCTGCGGAGGTGGCCTGAAGGTGGCAGGTCTGGTCGAGGACGGGCCCGGCCACGGCACAGGCAGGGGAGAGCTCGTGGAGGGCGTGGCTGTCTGCGCTTCCCTGCCCGTCGCGGGTCCTGCTGTTCTTTGACCTGAGTGTCCCCCTGTTGCCCCAGATTGGCTTCCTCTGTGCCCAGTCTGCCCCTTTCTATGGCTGGGTGGGCACGGGGGGCCATGCCTGCGACCCCCACCCAAGGTCCCAACCCCGCCTCTTGGGGCTGGTGGGCTTCACCTAGGCCCCAGCGAAGAGGGACCACCAGGAGAACACTGGGAGCCCAGTCCAGGGGGGCCTGGCGATGCTATGGGCATGGGGACACGCGAGAGGAGGTGTGCAGACGTGGGTGTCTGTGTGGACCCGCGGTGTGGCCACGCCCCAGAAGCAGAGACCGCCCGGGGGTCGACCGTGTGGGGAGGAAGGGTCCTCAGTGCCTCGCCGAGATGCGGCCGCCCCACGTGAGCCTCGAGCCCGGGGAGGCTCGGCCGGACCCTGCTGTCCTTGGCCCACGTGGCCCCCAGGTCCCCAGAGCGCCGATCGGGCGCCGTTTCTGTGAATGCTGCACATGCGGGCCTGCATCGCCCTCACCCCAGAGTAGCCTCGGGCCCCAGGCAGGACGCACAAAGCCCCTGGGCCGGCTCCCCACCCCTGGGCTTCTTCCCGCTCTCCTTCTGCAGCTCTTCCTACGGTCTTTCTCTCAGAGCCGAGCCCCACGGGGTGTGAATAGGGAGGCGCCAGATGGCCATTTCTTCCTCCCTGGATGCTGCCGAGGGGACCATGCGGGATGCCGCCCTGACGGCCGTGATGCTGGGCGCTGCAGGGACCAGGCCTGCCTTGGCTGTCTCCTGTCTCAGCCTGGCCCCTGCCTGCAGGCGGCCGCTCCGTGGGTGGCAGGCAGGGAAACTGAGGCCGGGCAGGCTAGCAGTCTGCCCCTGAGCCCACGAATCCAGTGGGCTGGCAGGGCAGGCTGGGGGGCACCGTTCTCTCTTGTGCGGGGACAGGCTTAGCAGCTCGTGGATAGTGTGGGCCCGCACGGGTAGCCTGGCCACATGGGTGACGTGCTGCCTCCCTGTGCCAAGTCCACCAGGGACCAGGGCTGGTTCTTCCGGGGGGGCTCCTGGATGCTGGCCACCGTGGGCCTGACCCCAGCTGCTGTCACAAAGTTGCACTTCTCTAAGAGAGCTGTCCTGGCCGAGGCAGCAGGAGTTGGGGTGCAGAGTGGCTCCCTGGGTGGGTGAGTGGGATGGGGGTGTTGGGGCTGGGCCATCGGGCTCACAGCTCCCGAGACCCCAGGACGTGGGGAGGGGGGCCCTGGGGCCCTGCAGGGCACTGGGGGGCGGGGCCCTGGGCCTCCTCCTCCTGGCTCCTCTCTCTCTCTCCCCTCTTTCTGCCTCATTTCCCTTCTCTTCCCTCCCCATCTGGGCTCCCCTCTTTCACCAGCTTCTGCTCTCTGTCTGCCGGACCCCCTGGCCTCCCTGCCTCCTCGCCCGCGACGCCCCCCCCCCCCCCCCGCCGCCCGGCCCCAGCCACCCCTCACCCCTTCCCAGGAGTCAGGCGGCTCTGCCAGCCCAGCAGACTGTTTGGAATAGTTTAAATGCTTTGACACTCTGGCTGTACTGGGTGGCAGGGTGGCAGTTTACTGGGTAATTCATATGCAAAACTGCACTATAAATTTCCAGGCTGTCTCAGTTGCCGTGGCACCACGAAGCGTCTCCCCGCGTACAGTACAGTATTTCTGCCATCTTTGTTTGCATTGCAGTGAGTCATCAAAAGTCTGTCTTGTACCAACACCCGGAGCCGTGCATTCCTCTGGCACCAACACTCCACTGTTTTTTAAAGCCGGGGCTGGGAGCTGGCATTTACTTCGGCTCCCAAATCAAAGGCGGCTATTCATTCCCGAGAGCCGCCTGGATGTCCGTCTGCATCCGGCCTCTTCATTTAGATGCTGTGCGCTGCCCCGGAGAGCCGGGCTGGGTGCAGCTGAGCCGCGGCCCAGCCCCGCGCCGAGACTCGCGCCCCCCCGCCCCCCTCCTCCTCCTCTCCCGGCTCCTCTCGCCCTCCCCGCCCCAAGGGCTCCCGCTCCGTCTGCTGCATTCCCGGAGCAGCTGGTGGCTGCGGGCGGCCGGGCGTGCGGGCGAGCCTGCCCCTGCCAGGCCGAGTGGGCAGCGCCGGGGCCACGGCGGCAGCGGCCAAAGGTAGGTCTCCCCCGCCGCCGGCGCCGCCGGCTGGGCCGGCAACTTCTTCTCCGCAGCCGGGGGTGCGGCGGGGGCTGGGGGGCGGTTACCGCGGGCCCTCCCCGCACCCCCCCCCAACAGCCGCCCACCTGCCCAACTCCTGTCTCTGCACTCCGCCCTCCTCCGCCGGACGCCCGCACTTTCCTCCCGCGGGACAGAGCGGCCCTTTGTACGGGCTCTGACTGCGCGGAGTTGGGCCAGCCCTTCCCCGGCCCATCCGGCCCGGGGGAGTCCGGCACCAGACCCCGGGGGCCGGCAGCACCCCCCCGGCAGCATCTGAGCCCTGGCCAGACCCTCCCCTGCCTCCCCCAGGACCCCTCTAGTCACCTGGGCTGGGAGCAAGCCAGCAGGGATTGGCTGGCGGCAGGAGCTGGGGGTGGGGGCGGCGGGAGGGCACGCAGGTGGGGTTGCGACAGGCTCCCAACTCCTGCCCTGGCCTCCTGATCCCCAGGCAACTCGGGCTGGTGGGGGGAGCTGAGTCCCAGAGTCAGACTCACAGCTTGGGTCGGGGGAGTCCGCAGTCTCCTTTGCTCGGAGGGAAGCAGAGACGGTGGAGCGACTGAGTTCTCCCCGCCCCAGCTCCCTTCTCTGGGCGCCCCCCCCACACCCTTGCGCACCTCTCCAGGGGGCCGAGGGGGGCTGCCTCTAGTCTGCAGGGGCAGGACTTCCCCCCCACCCCAACTCCCGGCGGGTCCTCTACATGGCTGCTCTAAGAGAAAAGGGGAAAAGCAAACCGAAACCAAAGCCTCTGAGAGGACCCCTGCTTCTCCTATCGCCGCGGTGCCGGGCTCTGGGTTCTGGCCCCTCCCAGGGGACAGGCAGCAGAGGGGCCCCTTCGCTGCTAACTTTTTCCTGGGAGAAGAGTTGTGCAGATGGACAGAGGCCCACCGTCCTTGCCCCTCCAGCTGGCTGGCTGGCCTGTCCCATCCTTGTCGTCCCGTCTTCTGTCTCCGGGCCTCTCTTCCTGGGTCCCACCAGGACGGGGTGTCTCTGGACCTCAGGGGCCCTTGCGCTCTGCCCCAGGCTGGCAGGGGGGCACCCCCACACACACCTGGCTGGGAACCCAGCTGGGGCTCCTGGGCAGCGCCGAGGGCTCTGCCGGGGCCCCGCTGCTGGCGGGTCTGCGGCCAGACCTGGCCTGGTGCATCGTGGCTGGGGCGAGGCTGGGGTGCGCGGGAGCGGGGGTGGGGGGTGGAGGAGGCGGCGCTGGGGCAGAGCCGGGTGGCCGCAGAGAGCACGGCCCGGCCGCTGGACGTCCAGGAGCCCGACCCTGACCCCCGCGCCCACGCCCTGTCTCCCGCAGATGCGCCCCACCCGGCGGCTCCCCCGCTGAGAGTCTGAGGCCGGCCCCCTCACCTCCCGCCATGTCGCAGATGCTGCACATCGAGATCCCCAACTTCGGGAACACCGTGCTCGGCTGCCTCAACGAGCAGCGGCTGCTGGGTCTCTACTGCGATGTGTCCATTGTGGTAAAGGGCCAGGCCTTCAAGGCCCACCGGGCCGTCCTGGCCGCCAGCAGCCTCTACTTCCGCGACCTGTTCAGCGGCAACAGCAAGAGCGCCTTCGAGCTGCCGGGCACGGTGCCGCCCGCCTGCTTCCAGCAGATTCTGTCCTTCTGCTACACGGGCAGGCTGACCATGGCGGCCAGCGAGCAGCTCGTGGTCATGTACACGGCCGGCTTCCTGCAGATCCAGCACATCGTGGAGCGCGGCACCGACCTCATGTTCAAGGTGAGCTCGCCCCACTGCGACTCGCAGACCGCCATGATCGAGGACGCCAGCTCCGAGCCCCAGAGCCCCTGCAACCAGCTGCAGCCAGCCGCCGCGCCCCCTTATGTCGTGTCCCCCTCCGTGCCCATCCCGCTGCTGACCCGCGTCAAGCACGAAGCCCTGGAGCTGCCTCTGGCCGCCGGCCCGGGCCTGGCCCCCAAGCGCCCTCTGGAGACGGGGCCCCGGGATGGCGCGGCGGTGGCCGCCGGCCCGGCGGTGGCCGCGGGCACGGCCCCTCTCAAGCTGCCCCGCGTCTCCTACTACGGGGTGCCCAGCCTGGCCACCCTCATCCCCAGCATCCAGCAGGCGCCGTACGCCCAGGGGGAGCGGACCAGCCCCGGGGCCAGCAGCCTGCCCACCACGGACAGCCCCACCTCCTACCACAACGAGGAGGATGAGGAGGACGACGAGGCCTACGACACCATGGTGGAGGAGCAGTACAGCCAGATGTACATCAAGGCCACGGGCAGCTATGCAGGTAACGCGGGGCGGGCCCGCCGCCCCCCCGCGGCCTCCCGCCCACGGGCGTGGCCAGGGCCCTCCGGGCACCTCCCGCGTGGGCACTGAGGCTGACCGGGCCTGACGCGTGGCGGCACAGCCTGGCGGGGAGATGGGCACGTCCCAGGGCCGGGACAGCTCGGGGCCGCCACCGTGCCAGAGGCATGCAGGTCCCAGCTCAGACTGGACGAGCTGTCGGCAGCTGACCCCGAGGCACAGCAGGAATTGGGTCGCCCTTTCAAGGCCTTAGCTGAGCACCTTCTATAAAATCAACCCCGGGTGGGATGGGAGGCCCCAGAAAAGTTTAGCTGTTGTGGAGCGTGTGGGCCAGGATCCGGGCTTTCTCTGGACAGATGAAAAAGACTGTGGGCCTTGGTGGAGCAGGGACGGCCCGAGGGCTCACAGGGCACCGTGCAGCCCCCGCTGACCCCGCGCCTGCTTGAGGCCTCAGTGGCCCTGTCAGTGAGGTTGCCCTGTCAGATCCATCTCTGTCACCTTTGACCTCCGCCCTTTGCCCCTCCCATGTGCTTTCACCTCAAGTCCAGAGCATCCTTGGAGTCTCCCAGTCGCGCCAGCACCCGGGGCAGGTCAGAAAGCGCCTCCTGAGTGCAGCGAGCGCCCCCCGACCCGCCCTTGTTTTGGGAGGACTCCTGCCTTTGGGATCATAAAGCCGCACACTCTGACTTGAGACGCCTGGTGCTACCTGTAAACTGCCTCACGGCCCCCAGAGTGGGTTCAGGATTCGTGGGTGGAGGGTCCCACCATCGAGGCCCCGGTTGTGTGCCCCCCCCCGCCTTCCACGTTCCCCAAAGTTCCCCACGTTCCCCGGCTGTGTGCCTGGCCTGCTGCCTGGCCTGATTTGCATGCGGGGCCCGAGTCCAGTGACTGGCCGGAAGCTTGGTGCCCGTGGGGAGTGACCTCCCAGAGCTGGGCCCAGGGGCAGTTTGGAGACTCCTTCCTCCCCTGAGACTGCCCGTGGCCTCGCGCCCCGATGGGGCTGACGCTGCCTGCCCCCGACCCCCGCCTCCTACCCTCTTCCACACCTCCACCTCCAGGCAGGCACAGGTCCATCAGTCTTGGGCGGACGGGGACGGGGAGCCAGGAGCACCGGCCAACTCAGGCCCTTGGGACAGCCGGTCCCCAGTGGCCGTGGATGGGGTGGCTGGGTCTCAGCTCTGGTCTGGCCCATCTGGGCCCCTCCCGGGGTCTCTCTCAGAGCTGCAGGGGTGGCAGTGCCGTGGACAGCTCCCGTGGGCTCGGGCATCGTCTTCCCTGCGCCGCAGTACTTTGAACGCATTTTGTCACATTTGTGTGAGTTCTGAAGGATGCTAGCACACAGACTGCCTCTATCTGGATGTGGGTTTTCCTCTTAGTGATGGAGGGTAGGGCTCGGTGTTCCTGACCCCAAGAAAGCCACAAGCTCAGGTGTGGGTCAGGCCTGGCCGGGACCCCGGGAGCCACCTGTGGGCGGCCCCCTCTGCCCGCTCCCGCCCCAGCAGCCCCCAGGTGGTGCCCAGAGGGAGCTGGGGTGGCTCCCAGGCCCCTTCCCCAGGGCGTACAGCCTCTAAGGACCACCCCCCCCCCCCCCCGGCCACAACAAATGCCGGCAGCAGGACAGAGCTCAGCGGAGGGGTCAGGGCTGAACCTGCTGAGGACCCAGGGGTGAGGCTGCCCACCCGTGGGCCCTGGAGGTGTGATGCCAAACCAAGAGGGGGCCTGGTACAGCTGCCTCCCCAGGGTCTTCCCCGCTCAGCCTGCCCCGCCGTGTGGCCTCAGGCATTGACGAGTCAGAGATGGTGAGAGACAGGACAGGGTGTTGAGGGTGGCGCTGGTGTGCGGGCAGGGCGGTAGCTCGTCTCGAGGCACCTGCTGCTCTGGGTGCACAAGCCTGGCCCTCTCCTGTGATCCGGGGTTTTCCGAGAGGGCAAGGGACAGCCCGGGGAGGGCTTGTGAGACTGAGCCGCCCCACGGCCTTGACTGTGCCTGGGCCCTCTCCCCAACCCCTCTCCCTCCAAGACCACATGCCAAGTCCTCCAGGGTGGGCACGGCTCAGCAAGTCCTGCGTGCCTGTGCCCCGTGGCCCCCAGAGCCCCTGGGGGTGTTGGCGGCGGACAGGGTGGTGGCGGCAAGCTGGGAGACTGGAGGGACGGCGAGCCTGGGAGCGGCCCTGCCTCCAGCTGACCCGCGAGGCTCCGGGCTCGGTGAGCCCATAAGTGGGGCAGGGAGGGGCGGTGTGATTTCTTGGTTAAGATCTAGGTTATCGGCAGTGACGTGGCTGGCATCGCTGGGTGCTGGGTGCGCTGGGAAGAGGGTTGTGGGGGAGGGTCCGCGGAGGCCGGGCAGGCAGAGAGGGCCCGTCCGCAGTGGTGGGCTGCTCCTTGGGTGCTGGCTCCCCGGCCCCCAGGCTCCCGCTGTGCCCTGGCTGAGTCTGAGCGGGGGGCGTCCTCACACCCGCCACGGGCCACCCGATAGCCAGGTGCCCCTCTCCCGGCACCCGGACAAAGGCAGGGCGGGACTCCGAGCTGGTGGAATCTGGAGCTTTCGGGCTCTCTGGAGTCCCTCCTCCTTCCAGGCCACGGGAGAGGGTGGCCTGAGTGACCTTCAGAGGCCTTCTGACCGGCACCTCGCGTGCAGGTCCGTGAAGGAGCCAGAGGCCGGAGCCCCAGCCTCATCCCCGTGGAGGGCCGCTGGCAGCCCCTGCTCGCTGGGCCCCTGCTTGTAGAAACCGAGGAATGGAGCGTTCCAGATGAGCAGGTGCATCTCAGTCCCTCAGCTGCCCCCTCTGGGTTCCTGTTCCCAGCCTGTGTGTCTCCTCCATCCCGGGCAGGTCCTGCGCCGCCGTCTATCGGGGAGATGCCCTGGTTGATTCAGCCACATCCCCGTCAGGGGACACGGAGGGGTGGGGGGATGAGCCCAGAGTGGGGACCCACGCCGCCCCTGTTCTCTGCGGTCTGACCACCTTCTGGCCTCCAGGCCCGCCCCCCTCACTGTACAGGTGTTGGGTCAGCAAGCAGGTGTGCTCCCCGTGGGTGTCTGAGACCCGGGCGCCTGGGTATTTACACACCAGCCACGTGCTTCCACGTTAACCCTTTTCTGGGCGGATACTGCCTCCAGGTGTCCTGTGGACGCGCCTGGACGCTGCTGGTAGCCCGGCGTGTGTGCTGATGTCCCGGTGTGGCTCTGCTCCTCCTCCGGGTCTGCTTGCCGTCCCCACGCCTGGACACAGGGTGGACCCGGCGGTGCTCAGGAGTGGGTGCTGGCACGCGGCTCCATGACTGTTCCCAGGTTCTGGAGGTCAGCGCAGCCGCTGACCCATCTTACACCTTACATCTTAGGGCCAAGCCTGCTATATCCAGCCCTCTGCACAGCGGGGCGTCTTAGCAGGGCCCACGGGGTGCCTGGCGATCACTGCTCCCACCCGCAGCTCAGAGCCCACGGGCGCTCGCTTGGGGGTCCTGCTGAGAAGGGAGAAGATGGAGTTGGTTCTGCAGGCCCCCTGCCACCCCCCCATGCTGCCTCCTGGCCTGGGGGCGGGGACATCACCCCGTGAGAGTGCAGCAAAAGCCCCGGCCTGTCTAGGGTGGGGGGCCCTGTGCGGGGTCGAGGGGTCCTCTCTCTTTTGAGGTAACATCCTGGCAGCTCAGCTGAGAGAGGGGCCAGCACAAGGTGTCTCTCCCACTGTACACCCCAAAGGCTGCCCCGGGGGCCGGCCGGCACCCCCGGTGTCATCTCGGACTGGTCCCTGAGGGCTTCCAGGGGTGGCCTCCCTGGCCCCCTGCAGTGTCCCGTTTAACCCTCACCCCCCAGTGCCCTGAGATTTCTTCTTAAGCCAGTTTTATTGAGGTGTGACTTACATACCCCAGTGACACGGGTATGAAATGTACCCGTTTGAGACCAGCTGTGGGGCTGTTAGCACAGTCAGAGAGGACGTGTCTGTCACTCTGGGGACACTCACACCTCTTTGTGGGTACCCCCACCCCCCAGCTGCAGGCAGCCTGGGATCTGTTTTCTGTCCTCTGGGGACGTCTGTCCATCACCTAAACCATCAGGCTGTCCGCACTCCAGTCTAGCTGGAGCATCAGCAGAAAGACTGAGACTTGCCTGTGCTGGGCGGGCAGTCCTGCCTTCCCCTTTGCACCTTCTGTTTATGTAAGTGTCTACACGGAATAAAACATGCCCGTTTCCAGCGTACAGGTGATGAGGTTGGTCGCTGTGATCCGGCCAACAGCACAGTCAAGTTTACGTGGCAGTTTGCTCCCTTCAAAGTTGTCCCAGGTCATCCCTACCCCAAGCCCGGCCACCACACACCTGCTTCCAATCACCGTCGCTTCTGCTTAAGGGGGCTCGCACAGAATGGAACCTCTTCTCCTTGACCTCCTTCACTTACTGTGTGTTGAGATCCATCGTCCCTGTGGTTCCGAGCGTGGGTGCTTGATCCTAGTGGCTGGGTCGCTCTCCCACGCCATGGACGTGCCACCAGTGGTGGTTGTGTGCGGCCTTTGTCATCATGCTGCTGTGGACGTCCTTGTATAAGTGGGACTGCGTTTTTGTCCGTCTGTTGAAATGGTTGGGTTTTCTCCTTATTTTATTGATGTGGTGTATTGCATCAGTTAATTTTTAAATGTTGAACCACCCTTGTATTCCTGGGATAAACCCCACTTGGTCATTATGTGTTATCATTTTGTATATTGCTGTATTTAATTTGCTAGTATTTTCTTAAGGAATTTTGCATTTATGAAAGCTAATTATCCGTAGTCTGCCTGTAGTGTCTTTGCTGGTTTTGTAGGATGATACACTAATGTCCCTTCTCATTTATTTTCTGTAAGAGTTTAAGTTTGATGTTATTTCTGTCCTAAGCGTTCTTTGACCAGTGAAGCCACTTGGGCCTACAGTTTCCATATTCAGTTAGTAAAGAATCCGCCTGCAATGCCGGAGACCCTGCTTCGATTCCTGGGTTGGGAAGATCCCCTGGAGAAGGGA